ACTAAAAGATACTTAAGTTTCTGAGTAGTTTCCTGAAAATAAGGTGAAAAGCAGAGTACTCTGCAGAAGGAAAGTCTCCAGCATTAGTTCATAGAGTATTAGAGACCACTGCACAGAGAGACTGAAAAATGCTTCAACCAGCTACTCCAGCTGGAGCTTGCATCACAGATATCAAATGTAATTCACTTCAAGACCTAAATCCATAGGAAATCGGATTTCATTATTGCTGAGGTTCATGGAATTGTTAGTTTGTCTGAAAGATCCCTGTGTCTCCAGCAGTGCATACTCAGTGTTTCTTTATTATCCTTAGTCATGCATGGAGCCCCAGGCTTTATTTGCCCTTTACTTATCTTGTACTGACCACAGAATAATAATTCCTTCGAGAGGGTTTTCATAATGCTTATTCTGCTGTACTTTAGATCCCTTTTAGATTTTTATCTTCTTAACTTTCTTAGTAACATTAGGTATATTCAGCATTGCACATGTGGGAACAGAGGTACAGAGATTAAAGCAAAGAGGATAAATGGTACCAACTCAGTGCTGGTGCAATGTAAGGCAAAATTTAACTATGCTATCTTATTTAATTTTTAAAAAGTCTGTTCTGGACATTGAATGCGCCATATATTTTTCTGGAAACAGTAGCATATAATTAGGTCATATAAATCAAAACTTAATCACATCATCTGTGTATGGGGGATGAGACTCAGCATGCAATCTTAGCCAGCTAAAATTTGCATGACTGGTCTGGAATCATCTCTATTCAATGGAAAGAGATGAGTCTTTAGGATAAAAATTGTGGTTTTGAGGTGCCTTTCTCCCTCCATTGATTAAGGAGGCCTCCATATCTCAGTCTATATGGTTTCGTATGATTCAAATTAAATAAATTAAATTCCGAGAGAAAAAAAAAGAAAGTTACAGACTTGACTTCTGGCCTTTGCTTCTGCAGGATATTGACTTTGAAGATATATTGCTCTCTTAAATAGAGTTTTTATGATGCAACTATATTAAACATCGCCTAGATGATCTGTAGGGTTGAGGAACCTCAAAGAAGATCCACACCTGTCTTCCCAAGTTTGTGAATAACTAACTCAGTACAGCATTGTTACATTCTACATGGTAGTGACAGGAGAAGGAAATAGAGCCCCACGCTTTGCCAGTGCTTTAGATGTTTCAGACATGGTGGAATAGCAGGCTTTGGGAGAAGACCTTCATCAACATTCCTTGAGGAATGTAGTCTGCAGCAGTTAGATCCTCCTCTCCTGCTCCTCTACCTGTTCCCACTGTGATTGCTTTCCCTGCTAATATATCTCTAGCCCGTGCTTAATACTCAGTGTCCAGCCCATTGTGATTGTGAGACTACTGTCTTGCATTTTGAACAGATAATTTGAATTCCAGATTACAGGGGAAATACATAAAAAGTATCTGGACTATTAATAACCGAGTTCTCTCTAATGGCAAGTCAGACACTGAAGTCACATGGGACTACATTTCATGAAGTTCTCTGCCAGTCTTTGTCAACTATCACTGTTAAATATAAACAAAATTATTGCAGTAATTAAGTAGGATCATTTTTTAATAAGAGTAAAAATCCTCAAAATTTAAAAAAGTTATAAATAATAGTAACCTCAGTTCCAGTCTCTTCTATTTGTTTCTCCAAAGCTTCTAATTTTTCAGCAAGCACTCCAGGTCTGACTTTGACTGGGAACATGATATAGATAAAGCAAAATCCTATCACTCTTTCAAGCCTACAGTGAGCCCTACCTTCCAAATAACTTAACCAGTATCAAAATACCAAAAACTTGTGCTAGAGGAGGGGGATCCTTCATTAACCCAAGTAGGTTTTTAGCAAGGAATGCACAGCTGAGCTTAATGAAAATTTATATATTTACTCTATTAGAAACTTTTCAAAGAGGTTATTGGAGCTTTTTCATTACATTTTCCTTCGTATTCCACTCTAGCTTTCTTGCCTTGATTAAAAAAAAAAAAAAAAATGTAACTAAGCCATCTCATCACAATTACAGTATGCCAGTGATACAAATTCTGCTTAGAAGTGGGCAGGAGAGCCAGAAGGGGAGATTTAAGCAGGAAGTTGAAACTGGCTTGCAGAGATGCCTGCCAGTTAGGTGAGACATGTCTGCTGTGCTATTTAACAGGAAAAACTAGTATTTAATAGCAGGAAGTTTCAACATCTTACTGAAATCACTGCAGGGTAAAGAGGCATCTGTGTCTGTGGCGGTATTTTCAAAACCTCACTTTGCCCAAGATACAGAAGTGGAGTCTCCAGCTTCTTGGTACCATTTTGGTTGCTCTCACTTTTTCACAGTTTTTTGCTGTTTGTTGGCTGATTTATGGGGCAGTGAGTTACAAGCAGCTGAGTTGAAATGTGAGCTGGAAGTGTTAATGTTCATGGAGCCCTGGAGGAGGAATGCTGCCCGCCTTGTTCTCGCAGGTGGGAGAGATTTGCATACCTCCCTACTGCAATTTAGGGAGGGGGGGTGCCCCACCTCTCCCAAGGCTTGGCTGAGGCTGAGCACTACGTGGGATTGCCCAAATCTGATCGTTGCTTCAGCACTTTATGCAGCAGTTGTAGTATCTCTTTAGATCACGAATGTCCACTTTTTAATTGTGTGTGCAGCACATTTGCTTAAACGGATCCCAGACCCTTATTTGCTTCACAAAGACCCTATATGGAGCAGTTTTACAAACTGAAGTGATTAATAGTCCTCAGCTTTTAAATGAATTTTTAAATGGCTGTTCTTTATTTGTAGAGTGGTGGTTCTTGTCTGTCTGTCCTTGCTAGTTTGTAGATGAACTAACAAATAATGATTTTAGAGATTATAAGAACTCTTGCATTATCAAATACATTTCATCATTCTTAATCACTCAGCAGTACTGAGGATTCTTGTTAGGGGTATATGAAGAGCTTCTTTACCATCCAAAAGTAATATTGAGTAGTAAAATGCTAAGGATGCAGATAAGTATCCTAAGTGTTTAAGGAAATGTACGTTTTTTTCCCTTTGACTGGAAGCATGAAGTTTGGTCTTGAAGTATAATCTGCAACATCTTCAGATTACCTGTTTCCTCTAAGTAAGTGAAACTTGAATTCTGAAACTGTTCAAACAGGGATTTTTTCAGGGCTCTTTTACTACCTAAACTGATTGTTTTCTTCAGAAGAATCATGGGTGAAACAAAGCCTATTTAGTTGATGTTCACAACAATCAATGCTCAGTGTTATTTCTTGGTCTCAATTGAATGAAATTAAATTTCTTACTGTAGCATTATCTTCCAAAGCTTTTATTTTCCCTTCAGAATCTTATCTATAAACCAGAGTGGTATCTTGTTTCTTGAGATGACAAGGTTATGTTTGTGTAATTTTGATTCTGCCTTGCTCCTTTTTTTAAAAAGGTCTTCATACTTTTAATTTACTGTCTGTGCTTGCAGACTACCAAATACTGTCTCTGTCTACCAGAAACCATAATAGCTAATGCCTGTACCTCCCACAACTGTGTAAAAAGTTAAAACTAATCAGAAGCTATAAAGACGCATGTTGGTATTTGTGGGAATTATCAAGGATAATAAAAATGCTGTCTTTTGGTCCTTCCCACTCAAAAAATAAATAAAAAAAAAACAAAACAACAAAAAAACCAAACCAAACAAACAAACCCAAGTAAAAGTGCACCTGCTGTTTTTCTTTATTATGTATAAAATTAATTATGACAAGAAATTTCTAAAATCAGTAAGCAACAGTCTTTGGATATTCTAGTCAGATGGTATTTGCTAATAATTTTACTCATGACAGCTTCAGCATCCATCCTGGGATTTAGACACTACAATACATTTCCTGCCCTCTGCTCCTTCCTCTATCCATCACTTTTGATCCCTTCCCATATGTTTCATGTTCTCTCCCAAGCACCATGCACTGTGGAAGCCTCCCTAGGTCCCTGCAGCCTCAGGGAGGAATGAGCTCAGCCACTCTCTTTGTGGCTCTGGCATAGGGCAGCCAGCATCCTGGAAGAGCTGGAATTATGGCTACAGAAGGAAAAAGGAAACAAATTCCATGCATCTTCTCCAGAATTTTAAGAAGTGATGAATATTCTCAGACAAAGAGGCAGAAGGCTTATTTGTAGCACAGGGGAGACTTTATATTTTGCCCTCATTCTGATGCAGCTGAGTAATTTTAGGTGAATCTTTCTGGATGTAGTCAATGATCAACTACCCTGTGAATTTTTATGTGTAAGTTTTCAATTTGGAATCATTATTAGTATTGTATTACATGATGCCTTTTTTCCCTTCTTCCTTTCTTTTTTTCCTGTGCTTTGGATTTCATTCATTCCAGTTTAGATAGCTGTTTTCTCTGGAAGCTTCTCTCTATTGTCAAACATGGTTGTTTATGGCTGTTATTGATTATTGTTCGGGTTGAGAGAGGAATGTGGTGAATCCACTGGTTGCTTTTATTTCTCTGAGCTTGGTTGGTAGACCTGCCAAGACACGGGCAGCAGAGTGGCAGGTAGAGAAGTTGGGGCTTTCATTTTCTTGGGCATGGGACAATATTCTCTGTGTCTTTGTGCCTGCCCTAGTTCAGGGTTCAGTGTTCATAGTTTCAGAGAACAAGATTGCGACATGTTCTGCATTGCACAACTGACTTTGATCGTTTCTCTGGTCAACATTAATTATCTAGTTGAGTTCATTGCTGAAAGGAAGAGTCCTGGTTTTGATGATTTTCATTTTTGTTACAATCTGCTTTTACAATCAGTAAATAAATGTTTTACAAGGGTGGAGTGCTATTTTGATAGTTTATTATGATAAAGACTGAACTGTTTCCATTTGAGAGCATTCCTGGTTATTAAATAGAGGCAAGAAAACAAAATTTTAGTCAATTTCACAAAACAAGTTAACTTCCTGTATTATAGTTAATAGCCTGTACCTGTTCCTTTCAACTGGACTTTTCCAGCCCATGCCCAATACTTCAAAGATAAGGGTACTTAATTGAAAATTAGCTAAAATCGGTGTAGTCAACAGAAGAACCTGTACTTATATAACAGTTCACGTGAGTAAAGATTTTCAGGATTGGCATGTATGGTTTGTAGTGACTCCTCAAAAGACACTTTCTATCACCTTCAGATTTAGGATACATGTTTGAGGCAGCTAAAGAATGTAAAGATGCCAAATAGGACTTGCATAGGCATCAGTTTCAATCTTAATTTATTAGAAAACTTCAATCATTTAATTAAATATTCAAGGGATAAACATATCCAATGACTGCACCAAATATTTTACATTAAAGTGTATGAAAAAGCAAACTTGTCAACCGTTGTGTTCTAGTTATCTTAATGAAGTGTTTGCTTTTGTTTGTTTTTCAGAAATCCGGTGTATTACATGACTTAGACGTTGTGTCTCTAAATGAAACTAAGAAGAGAACCTGCTGTGCATTCTAAAATACTGTTTCTTATTCAGTTTTCAGGAAATATCAAGTGTTACAAAGGGACATATAAGATTTTAAAAGTGAGCCTGCAATGCAAAAATACAGTGTTTAAGCATCCTTTGTATTACACAGACATTGTCACCAAATGTTTTTATATGTTTATATTATATTTTCATATTTTTAATGTGAAGATAAAACAGTTATCTGATTTAGGAATTATTAGGTGCTTCACAGGGTGACCATGCTTGAATGTAAATGTTTGCAGAAATGAAGTCTAGGTGTACTAATTTTCTGTTATTAAAAAACACCCTTCACTTTTTTTGTGTGTTATTTATACCGGTTTTGTAATACAGTGAACATTGACATCATCACACAAGCAACCTTCTGATATATGAAATCATATAACATCTCTTTAAGTACCTGATACTTACTGTAATCCCTTAAGACAAGTCTCAGAGGACTTTTGGCTTGGTTTCTTTTATACCCATTTCAGACACATACATGCTAGTTCAATACTCTTGAATAGGGACTCTGCAAAGGTGGTGTCTGAGAGAAAGGGACAAACCCATACTAAGACTGCTGTCATAGAATGTTTTGGGTTGGAAGAGAGCTTGAAGGTCATCTAGTTCCAACCTCCCTAATATGGGCAGGGACATTTTCCAGTAGAGTGTATCTTCCTGAGAATTCTGAACCATCTTCCCTTCCCTTCCCTTCCCTTCCCTTCCCTTCCCTTCCCTTCCCTTCCCTTCCCTTCCCTTCCCTTCCCTTCCCTTCCCTTCCCTTCAGCATTTCAGTTGCTCCAGTCTGCCAGGATCCCTCTGAATTGTAATGCTGTACTCCAACATAGTTGGAGCCTCTTCCTATAAATACAGTCTCCAAATATAAGTGTACTCTGTTCAGTCATCAATTATATTGATGAAGGTCCTGGATAGTTCCGGTCCAAGATGGATCTAAGTGAAACCCTATTCAGTGTATCCTTTCAGCTTTGGAGTATTAATTATTTCCAAATAATTTTGTATTTATATTGCCTAAACTGTTCATTTGGAGTTTTTTTGTTAAGAGCATATTATAAGAAACTCTTATGATCCTCAGTCTTTCTCTGCCATCCACAAAGCCTGTTAAAACCTTTTGAGTTAGTAGGAATTTTACTTGATCAATTTGTATATTATATCAGTTTGGTATTTCCTTCTCTTCTTTGAGAGAGATGCAATCCCTTTTGGGTTTTCTGGAACCTCATTCTGTTGATTTTTGGAAATCATCAGTTTGAACCATAAGGGAGCTTCACCAGGTCCAGTCTGTCCAAAAATTTTTAACTTGTCAATGTATTTTCCAGTTTATTTGTTCCTTTTTCTGGCCTTAGATGGTGGTGGTAGAGTGAAATCACATTTGCCTTCTAAAATTGAAGGCTGAGGTTGAAAGTATCAGCATCACCAGTGATGATTAAATAGAGTTACCCCTCTGTGGAATAAGAGACCAATTTTTTCCTTAGTATTCTTACTATGAATCTTATCAACAGGCTTGCTATCTTTAAAATCCAATTTTCTAACTTTCTGGGAGCTTATCTTCCAGGTTTTGTCCATACATAGTCTATATATTTATTAATAATTTAGTAATTTGACCTACTTTCTATTTTATTTCAGGTCACTGAAGATCTCATTATTCATCCAACTTAATCTTTATCTCACTTCCTTCCCCACCTCTGTATAGATCAAATTCTGCAGTTTTGCCTTTCAGCAGTAGTTCTGTGATGAATTTCCAGCTGTCCTGAACTCACAGTCCACCTACTGGTTCTCTAGGTTTAAGCCTCCATGTAATTCACCCTTCTTTTTATAACAATGGAAATAGATTTTAAAGGGTCAGATTAATTTGTAATTTTGATTTCTTCTCTTTATAGCTAATGAGAATTTCAAGTAAGGAATTTCTTCTATGCAGTTTTCCTTTGTGCAGAGATTCCTGCTATGTGTGCTTAGGTATGATCCAGTCCCACCTGAGGGAGATGCAGAGATTCAGGTTCCCATGGCAGTTTTTGTAGGATGGTAACTCCTGCTAGCTGATGCTTCACCTAACATTCCATGAGCACCATGAGTGCTCTCCTTTTCACATCTCCTGGAGCAAAACAACTGCCTTTTTCCAAACATACTCATTGTAGATGACAGGAGTGTGCCAGTAGGGAATAAACACCACTCTCACTAGAAAGGGCCAAAAAAGGTTCAGGTTGGACATCAGGAAAATTTTCTTCATGGAAAGGGTTGTTAAGCATTGTCAACTGTTGGAACAGGCTGCCCAGGGAGGGGGTAAATAACACCATCCCTGGAAGTGTTCCAAGAAATAACTGGATGTGGCATTTAGTGCTGTGGTTCAGTTGACAAGGTGGTGTTTGGTCAAAGGTTGTACTCAATGATATTGATGGTCTGTTCCAACTTAAATTATTTTGTAATTTAGAGATTCAGGGAAAGAAATTTAGGATCTGATTCTGAAATTATCACTGCATCTTCTGTTATATCCCGCTGGATTTGTAAATATTAGGAAAATCGTGCCTTTGATATAAAAAAAATCATATGGAAACAAGGAGTGCAAATTATTGGGGCTTTTTTAAAAGAAATACCAAATATTATGGTTTCTCATGAAACTTACTGTATAAAGCTCAGTTTTATTTGATGCATGGACACAACACCATAAAGCATGTTACCAGATTCATACTGAGTTTGTTGTAAACAGTTCCTTTTCAGATGTTAGCACATATCTGAACTGAAAATGATCTGAAATGCTTTTAGAATAACACTATTGGCAATGGAATATATACATACTACAGACTCTACAGACTACTGCAGAAATGTGTTATGAAATCAATATGAAAGTCAATTCAAAATGCATTTAAGAATAATTTCAGGAATTATTCTGAGTCCTTTTGCCACTGCTTATGGTCTTATGGCAAGAATTTTCTGTTGATTCATAAAGACTGTCCCTGAACACCACCTGAAAGGCACATAGACAAAAACTAAGACACTGTGAAACTAAGGCCCTGGCCCTAGGGTGGATTTACTCTTCAGGTCTGGTGGCTTCATTAGCATTTTACATCAGTAGGAGACTGGTAAGCCATCACACTAAGGCATTGCTAGACATCAGGAAAATTATCTCTAAAGTGTTAATTATACACAAGGTGCAGTTAAAACAAGAAATTTCTGTTATGTGCTGGTGATTTGAATGCCATTTATGTACTATTAGAATATATTCCAAGAAGGTGGAGCTGGAGTACAGTTAGGACACATAACAAAGTGACTCGAAGAGCAAGAGCAAGACATTTAAATAGTAGTGAGAATTATGAACTTTCTGCCTGGAGACAACTGAATGAAATTTAGATATTATCTAGAAGTTAGATTTTTTTTTTTAAATGCACATTGTGCCAGTAAAATGGTTAAAAATGGTCTGGGTTTTCACTGGCTGGAGAGAACACAAACGCAGTCATAGGAAGGCAGATTTAAAGGCCATAGGACATCTAGTACGGAAGAATGAAAAAATCTCTCAAGAAAAATCAACAGTAACTATTTTCGTGTGAGAGATGCTTTTCTTCCCAGACGGCAGAAGTGCATGATGTCTGAGACAAATACTGTGAGATGGTATCTCTCCTGGAATTAATGGTACCCAAGATAGTGTTTAAGAACAATTCCTGACAGACTAGTGCTTCAAGTCCTGGTGAATCTCAGTCTGATCTGATCTGCTTCGCTTTACATACTGCACCTGGAAACCTCATCAAGCCTGAATGAGCTAAACCCATGTGTTCCATATTTCAACAATAATGCTCTTAGCAACAGTGCTCAAGTTCACTGATGACACAAAGCTGTGAGGAGTGGCTGATACCTGCTGGGAAGCAGCTCTGTGGAGAAGGACCTGAGGGTCCTGGTGGACAACGAGCTGTCCATGAGCCAGCAGGGAGCCATGGTGGCCAGGAAGGCCAGTGGTATCCTGGGTACATTAGGAACAGCATTGTCAGCTGATCCAGGGTGGTGATCTTGCCCCTCTACTCAGCCCTGGTGAGGCCACATCAAGAGTGCTGTGTCCAGTTCCCAATACAAGAGGGGCATGGAGCTCCTGGAGTGGGTCCAGTGGAGGGCAACAAAGATGATTAAGGGGCTGGAGCATCTCTGCTATGACAAAAGGCTGAGGGAGCCAGGCCTGTTCAGCCTTGAGAAGAGATGAGAGATGACAGAGGGGACGTTAAAATGTTTGTAAGTACCTGAAGGGAGGATCTCAAGAGGATGGAGCAAGGCTCTTGTCAGTGATGCCAAGCAATAGGACAAGATGCAACAGGCAGAAAACTGAGGCACAGGAAGTTCCACCTGAATGTGAGGAAGACCTGCTTTACTGTGCAGGTGACCATGGACTGGAACAGATTTCCCAGAGGAGTTGTAGAACCTCCCTCAATGGGGATATTCTAGAACTGTCTAGATGCAATCCTGTGCCGTGTCCTCTGGCACGGAGGTTGGACCAGATGACCCAATGTAGTCCTTCCCAACGTGAGCCAGTCTACTTTGCACTTCAACAGTTTAATTCACTGATGTTGTTGAAAAGCATTTGGTGAACTTGCTAAAAGGAAAACTACTTTGAAAATAAGTATCTTTTCAAGGTAAATTTAAAAAAATTTAAAGCTAATTATGCTGGTAGGTAGGATCTAACAGCAGAAAAACTTTTGTAAAGAACAAAGGTTTTTCACAATGCTGGGAAAATCCAGTGCCACATGTATCACTAAATCATGGATGCACAGCAGGATGAGCTTGAAGCCAACCTTGATCCACATAAAGCAAGATAACTTGGGTTTTCTGTAATCTATTTCGACTAGTTTCCACAGTCTTTGTTTCATCTTGGAGACCATGGATAGCCCCAGTCTCTGTTTGCAGCAGAGTAGAACAAGAACATGTCTGTCTCAGCCCCCCTCTTCCTGGCCGTGCTGGGCCACCAGCAGTGACAAAGGCACGCAGCAGTGTCTGGCCCTTTACCCAGGCCATGAGGAAGGGTGAGCAGCAGGAGCTCTCTTGGTAATACAGCTCTTACCCGAGCTCTGCCATCCCCGGTATCTCAAGGATAGGTAGAGAAGCTGGAGTCTGGAGAGAGATGTTGGCTGTGGATGTTCTCAGTCGTTTTGCTAATCACTGCAAGGCACTTTTATAACTCTAGTCAACAGTAAAGGCTTAAATGTAGCCAAGTTTGCTGCAATAAAATAAACAGTTTTGACACAGGAGGGAACAAAATAAACTTGAGCACAGTACAGTGCAACCACCCAGGAGTTTTTCTGGTTTAATTTCCCAGAGTTTCTGCAGTCTG